TCTATATAGAGGAGCGACGACACATGATGTTAAGTATACCTCTATATAGAGGAGCGAAGACCCATACTAAACATGACACCTTTATATAGAGAAGTGAAGACACATGCTAAACACGACTCCTCTATATAGAGGAACCCTTAACATCATGTGTCGTCACTCCTCTATATAGAGGTACCCTAATAGCATGTGTTGTCACTCCTCTATATAGAGGTACCCTTAACATCATTTGTCTTCTATATAAAGGTTCAGTTGATCATATGTCCTCAAAATGAAGGTGTTGCTTTCATGATCCTTTTAACCCTTTCACCACTGTAGACCATAATGGACTCATCCAGATCAATGCATCGTAGAGTGTTCTTAAGTTACATACGTGTGAAAGGGTTAAATAAAGGTGTCCTCTTGATCACATATCCTCTATGAGGTGTTATCTTTATAATTAGGTATCCTTTCCAAAATGATGTCCTCTTTATTTGTCACAATTATAAGAGAGGTGTCCTCTTTATCATATCACCTCTTATTAATGTTTCCTTTGTGTCATGTGTCGGCTTTAGATAGATATTCTTCTGATCAAGTGACCTCTGTATACAGGTATCTATCTGATCAAGTGACCTATGTATACAGGTATCCTTCTGATCAAGTGACATCTGTATACATATATTTATTTGACCTTAGCTGTTAATAGGACGTTAAACAAAATCAAACAAACAAACAAACTGATCAAGAGACCTCTGTACACAGGTATCCTTCTGATCAAATTAATGCCCTCTTTGATCACAGCAATATAAATATATTAATTATAGTCTTAAGGCAAAGAGTACTATTTGTTTAGGATTTAGATATACTAGTAATACTATTACTTACAAAAGAAATAATATAATTATAATAAAAAATAAGTAAAAATAAAAAATAAAAACACTACCTGTTTGGGGCGAACTCAGGACCATTACATTACTGATCCGACACACTACCGATGTCACTACTTAACAAACATAACTCCTCAATAGACAAAAATAAAAATGATAAAACACATTAATCGAAACTCGTGTAGTACTCTCTACCTTAAACGTAACATGAAGTTAGAACATTATAAAATATTTGTCAAACAGTACTATTCAAGCGGGGTCTAAGCAGTCTGATGAATTCAGCTTCCTTAGCCTCACGTTTGATTACGTCTGCGTTGTTCATTTGGTAAAATATAGGAAATATTTTAAATTTGTCATCAGTGCAAGCATGTATGTGTTTACTAACTGGTAAAAATCTTAAGCTGTCTGTTCGTATTTGTTGTCTATGTACAGTCATCCTTGTTCGTAGTTCACCGCCCGTTTGACCGATATAAAATTCAGAGCAATTGTTACAAATCATTGCGTAAATTACATTACTAGACTTACAATTCATATGCTTTTTCACCTTAAAGCTAAAACCATTTTTGAACTTAACATCACTTTATATTCTATATATATATACAGGTATCACTCTGATCAAATGACCTCTATATACAGGTATCCTTCTGATCAAGTGACCTCTATATACAGGTATCCTTCTGATCAAGTGACCTCTATATACATGTATACTTATGCTCAAGTGACCTGTCTATACAGGTATCCTTCTGATCAAGTGACCTCTGTATACAGGTATCCTTCTAGTCATGTGACCTCTATATACTTGTATGCTTCTGATCAAGTGACCTCTGTATACAGGTATCCTTCTAGTCAAGTGACCTCTATATACAGGTATCTATCTGATCAACTGACCTCTATATACGGGTATCCTTCTGATCAAGTGTCCTCTGTAAACAGGTATCCTTCTGATCATGTGACCTCTTCATACAGGTATCCTTTTTATCATGTGTGTTTTATATAAAGATACCCTTGTTATCATGTAATCTGGTTATAGAGGTGTCCTATAAAAAAGACACCATGATAGTAGATACCTTTATTAATAAGAACACTGGATAAAGTTGATCATTTGTCTTCTATACAGAGGTGTCCTTTTTATAAAGGCACCCTATAGCTATCTTCCCCATTCTTTCCTATATCTAAACCACCTCTGTTATAATAATAACAATAATATACAGCATTTCTATAATGCCCTTTATAAATTGTAAAATTACTCTAAAGGGTTTTACAAGATATGGATAATAGTATTATATTAATTATAATTGTTAAACTAAAAATGGCAAGTTGTCTGGGATACATAGGTTGTATATAAAGGTTCCTTATACATAATTATCCAACAGTATACAACTACATTATATATACAGGTTCTGAATTGAACATCCCTATAAAAAATGTTACAGATATATCTATTTGCTTTTTCTTTGTGTAAATTAGACAAGGAATTTAAGAATGGTGATTCTGCAGTGATGTGCAGGCAGACTTTGGCACTGGTTCAGGTAGGCAGAGATATACCTACACTTTACCAAGCCGCCTGATGATCTGTTTAAAAAGTAATTATACGTGCACACCTACATTCCACTTAGCCAGGGGGAAACTGATGGGAACAGGAGGAAACATATATTCTTGGAAGAAAATATTTGAACAGACTTCTTGACTCAAGTATAAGGATGGAGAAGATATTGTTCAAGTACCCCATGTTTTGGTTGGCGAACGATAAGAAGCAGCATTCACGAGTGAGTTTGAGGGTGGGTTCGGACAGAAAACACTTCTCAGATAAACAGGTCGTTGAGTACCAGAGAAGGAAAAGATTGAATCTATACTTCAAACACAGATAAAATGTTCCTCAGAGATAGCAAGTACATATTCTTTACACTGACAGACGTTAAATTCAAACCTTATTGACAGCATCTTGTGGTTTTTTTTAATGATACTACAATGTTGATGTTGAGAAATTTGCATCACATTTTGATGTTCTGGATGGTTTTGGATATTTTGCAGTGACAGTTGTAGGTTATATAGACATTGATGGGGGAAAAAATCTGCATCTTGTGCTGTACAGAAAACGATATTGTCTGAGAGTTTATACAATTTAGTTTGACTTTTGTTTCAGAAGAAAAACTATTGCAAAATGCACTTTATTGATAGCTGTTGCAACAACCTGCATGTCTATCTTTCCAAGCATTTCTAAAATTAGAACCGAAGACTTAAATGTCAGTGTACATATATTGTGATTAAAAAGTTTTGTGAATCTCTTCAAGTTTCCACAATGTTTTTGCCCCTCTGTGATTCATCAGTGTAATTTTGAAGTTTAAATGTAAGCTGCTTTAAATTAACTTTGTTCACGCTGTCTAAAATAGCCTGTTTTCTTATTTTCATTAATAAGTATAGTACATACGTAATATACCTGTTCACAATCAAACCAGCTTATGGCATTTGGTACTCCAAATGCTTCAAACAAGCTGTAACTTAATTTATTTTTATTTTGAAAGCTCCATGGTTTAATTTTGTCAGGCCTGGCTAATTACATCTTTAAGGGACAAGTTATTCATGGCTAGCTTACCACTGAGTTGTTACTTACTCATCTACCCCTACCTATTTAAACTGGACTTGTCCAGTCTTTGGTTTGGTAAGGTTCAAATGTGACTTAAAGGGTAAATGGGTTAATGAAAATTTCCAAATATGTGATTTTTGAGAAATAAATGAAAATTTACAAAATGTTTTTTTTGTGTCTCTGTGTCAGTCATCCTAAATCTGTCTACATTATATATAGTCAACTGAAGCTTAACATTAACCAATAACCATAAAGGGCCCGGTCTTTCTTACTTTCAATGCATATTAAATAGTGATTTGGCAAATGGCATAATTTCCAAGAGATAAACACAGCACCAGGGCCCACTCAGAGATATAATGCATGGCTATTTTAGTAGTTTGATAATAGTTAACCAATCGCTTTGCTAATGTATTGCCATATGGCCTTTTCACACGTCCTGATGACCGAGGCTACATGTAGGGGACATTGCTTACCAGTATTTAACTATGTCAAATATCAGGTATTACAACTGCTTGAATAGGATTTGGGTATCATTCTTCTGCAAAAAATGGTCCTCCTACACCATTGTCAAATTTGTAAAGTTATTTACCATTTAAAAAAGAAGAGAATAATAGCAGTATTACTATTGATATGACTACTATATCATGTGTCTATTGACTCATTCAAACTTTCATCCCCTACTTTCTAAGAAAAGGGGTATCTTACTTTTGGTATGTCCATTTATCTATTTGTCACACTTGGCCTCTGTGCGATTAAAATGATAGTTTAATTATCAGGTTCTAATACTGATGACGATTAAAGTTTAATTATCAGGTTCTAATACTAATGACGATTAAAGTTTAATTATCAGGTTCTAATACTAATGACGATTAAAGTTTAATTATCAGGTTCTAATACTAATGACGATTAAAGTTTAATTATCAGGTTCTAATACTAATGACGATTAAAGTTTAATTATCAGGTTCTAATACTAATGACGATTAAAGTTTAATTATCAGGTTCTAATACTAATGACGATTAAAGTTTAATTATCAGGTTCTAATACTAATGACGATTAAAGTTTAATTATCAGGTTCTAATACTAATGACGATTAAAGTTTAATTATCAGGTTCTAATACTAATGACGATTAAAGTTTAATTATCAGGTTCTAATACTAATGACGATTTAGATTTTAAGACTGAATTAACACCATTCAGGAGAATGAGAGTTACTAAATAATGAAAAGAAGACTTTTAAGGGAGATAAATCAGTACCGAATCAGATACATATAATGTGTTTACAAGTACATAACCATATGGGAGATAACTCTAACATTATATGTGAGGTAGCATATAACCTTAAGTTAACTGACTGATTATTAATGCTGAGGTACTGATGTCAGCAAGGACAGACTTAAGCCATGTAGATCAGTGTTAATCTATAATGAAAGTGCCAAAATCATTTATACATTTCTCTGGCTTAAATGATGACCAGATATAATCCATTAAGTTTCAAGTTTTAAGGTAGCTGTCTAAGAATTCGCTAGCAGAGTGGTAGACTAATGCTGGTGAGGTTGGAAGCTGGTGTAGTGAGGGATGAGCTACATTGATTGTCGGGACCTGGAATATGTATGTGTTGTGGTGTAGTAATATATATATTGATTCAGCACTGGGTCTAACAATCACATGTTTTAGCTGTAAGTAATGATAAACTCCCGCCATTGATAACCAGTGTTGCCGTAGCACCAGACCTAGGCAGTTTTTGGAGATTGTATGTTTTAGTGTGCTAACAGAGCTATATATCTGCCAGATGATTTAAGTTCAGTGACTGTATCAGAGTTTACTTGGCCATGTAAATGGATATGCTTTTCTGTGGATTTGCTGAGAGCGTTTGGCCATGGGATCGAAGGTAAGATACAACAAGTTTTATCAAGAGATCATACATGTATGCATATGATCAGGTTTTGTTAAATACTCCAATTTTCATGTAATTAGGTTGATGCTTGTGGATCTGGTGTTGTTTTGAGCATTGGTTGGTCAGATATGTACTCACACTGATACATCCAGTACAATGTCTCTAGCTGTCTGTCACTGAGTTTGGATCGGTTATTTGTATGACAAACTTGTTTGTTATTCGGCTCTGTAGAATGTGCATATATATAATTATGCACTTCACATTGTTTTTGTCAGAGAATGGTAAATAGTAGGGCCGCCACAATGTAAATATCAACTTCATAATGATTGAGTGCAGGATGTTATGAGTTTTGTCATAGACTTCAATATATATATAGTAAATACTACTGAAATGTAATTTGTTAAATTTCTAGTACTTTTGGGTATGACTGCACAGTGGACCAAATCTTTACTGAAGGATTCAGAAAATAATAAGTACATTGTTTTAGAGTTTGATAAAATTTGATTGATAACTTTTTTTTTAAGTACTGCTAGTGTATTGCATGAACAAAACGATTCAATACACTATACACAAGAAAGTATTGCAATGTGATATGATACGATATATCGTTGCAGCGAAAGTATGATTTCGAAATATCTTATGTAAAACGAAAAAAATGTATAGTTTAGATTTTTTACACATATATCTCGGGTAAACATTCTTACTACCGAGACTATAATGTGGAGAACTCTGCTCCTAAAAAAGTCCAAAGTCCAAGCTTTTCTGTTGAGCTTGTATTTCAATATAATACATATATATTGTCTTACTGATCTGTCAGGTTTCTGAAAGTATCTATCAACATCAGATTAATATAAGCCCTCAAATCTAGATTGATAGATCTAAATCTGTAAGTGACAATTAAAATAGAACGATTCTAAGTATAGACATCACAAGAGTATGGCTGAGGTAGCTATGACATGTGAGATAACTATATATAGATCGAATACTTTATTACCTTGTTAGAAAGTTTGATAAATCTTACATTTTGGATTGAGATTTGTTTATCTACTTCAAAGGGAGCTTTGATAACTTTTTTTGCACTGATCCATAGAAAGGAATGAGTTTGGCAATATGGAATGCTTTGTACCTACATGTTAGCACTCGATCAGCCATCACATGTCATCATATGGTTGTTAAAAATGATGTCATATCTTTGTATTTACTGTATTATATCGGTTTATCTTCAAATTGTTGAAGTTGGTCAGTACCATTTAGAAGTAGAATCACCCCAGGCTTGGTAATAAGCCCCCCATTAATATATTGCAGTTAGGAAGAAATTCCAACAAAAGCTTTTTCAATTGTCCTGTAATAAGCCCACCCCCTCCTTTCAGTCAGAGATTATGCATTGGCCTCATGGGCTCATTGCAGGTTAAATGTGGTATTATGATGTCGCAGAAAACATATTCTGCAAGGTATCCCACCGTAGGATCGGAAAAAATAAACTGAGATAAATGAAGGAAACAGGGTATCTTTGGTGTTAATAATAAAGTGAGTCTCTCTCCTGTAACCTTAGTAAAGGTCATATACAAGTCAATGTTTGATTGTCTCAGTAGTTTCACCATTAAGCTGGTCAATTACTGTCTAATAAAGACGTAACTATGAGTAAAACATTGTAGGAGATGTACTGATGAACAATTATCTGAGTATTTCCCCTTGTAACATTTTTCCTCGGAACAATAAACTACTACAGCTTCACAGTAGAATGGACTAAAGATCATCAGTCAAGGTTGGCATATAGAGCAGTGTTAACCCGAACGGCTGAAGGGTGAGAGTGAAGGAGAATTGGTACAGATTACAGCGACTCTAGACTCGTTTGTAACACAGATTCCAAGTGAATGGAGAGTTCTCAGACTGCTACAAAGTTTTATGGGAGTGTTAAAACCAGCAGATTGATTGTAGGATAGTGTCACCATCTTGGACTCCACCAGATTAATCTCTGGCACAGACAATGTCAGATTCTGAAGATAGCCTAAAGTTGATGTCACAATTTGTACTAGAGCTTGTGGATTGGTCTCTCTTGGGGCAGGGAGCTGTTCACTAATAGTGACACCTCAAATTTTCTATCCTGGAATAAGGTTTTAGCTTCAAACTCAACTATGTTGTCTGTATGTACTTTATTGATTTTAATTGCTTTTTCAAGTTGAAAGTACATTTATTTGAAAAAAAGACTTGATCTTCATTCAATGTTATACACATTACACAAAATACAGTGAACAGTATTAGACCGCAAATAAGATCCCACATGCAATTAAGCCCCCTCCCCACTTTGGCAAATGTCCTGGGAACAGGGTGGGATGTCCTGGGGACAGGGTGGGATGTCCTGGGGACAAGGTGGGATGTCCTGGGAACAGGGCGGGATGTCCTGGGGACAGGGTGGGTGCCTGCAATTGAGCCCGTCCCTAATTTTGTCTCTCTCTTAAAAAAATATGTATGTTATTTTTTGCTTCTGAACATAAACAATTATGTAACTGGATGCAATAAAACATTAACCAAAGTTCAACATCTACATGTAATTTTATCACTGAGGACACATTTGAACTCTCCAATACAAAGGTTGGATTAGTTCATTATAAAATTTCAGGGGTGTTCCAGTTAATGTATCCATCGTTGATGACATCATTGTCATATTAGGCCATTACTGTTCAAGGGAAGTAAAACTAAACAAACATTAATATTTGCCTTAAAAAATCAACAAGAAATTTAATACACTGCGTACAAAACGTGTCTACAGTAAACAGCTATAAAAACATGGCAGAGTGTGGTTTTACATCAGAAGTTTTAATGATATAATTTTGCATCACATTTAAAATTCAATTTCATATCTTCATCCTACATTTGTGAACAGGGGTATTTTACACGATAACAAGGGAAGTGTTATGGTCACTATAGATAAAACACATATGTATAAGGAAACACACCACAGGAGGTACAGTGAGGTAGCTAACGGTTATCTGAGAAATATTGTATAAAAACAGGATCAATGTTACAATATTACTCGAAGAAAATAAACGGGGTTAACATTTTATCAAATAAATTCATGAATTTCACCACAACGGCCGTGTTTATTAACTCTGTGGCCAACGATGATGACAGAAGTGTTGGTGAAGAGTATTAATCGTGGTGACGGGATAGAGAAACACATTGTACCAGGTATAGGTATAACGCAGACACGAAAGAGTTCAAGAAAGATCACATGAGTAAGAAAGGGTAGCCAGGATCCCCAAAGGAAGCCATTTTTGTCTTGTGTAACTTGATGCAACATGTATTATTCTCTGCTCAACTTGCAGAAAATATTAGATAGATTTCACTGCATGCAGTAAATGTCCTTAAGATTTGAAACACAGTATAAGATATATTTCACCGACTGCAGATTATGTCCTGAACACTTGAAACATAACATCATTAGAAACATTTCACATGTACATTGTAGTTAATATCCTTAAGGTTTGACACACTGTTGTTAATGTCCTTTAGGTTTGACACACTGTGGTAAATATCCTTAGGTTTGACACACTGTAGTAACTATCCTTAAGGTTTGACACACTGTAGTAAATATCCTTAGGTTTGACACACTGTAGTTAATGTCCTTAAGGTTTGACACACTGTAGTAAATATCCTTAAGGTTTGACACACTGTAGTAAATGTCCTTAGGTTTTGACACACTGTAGTAAATATCCTTATAGGTTTTGACACACTGTAGTAAATGTCCTTAAGGTTTGGCACACTGTAGTAAATGTCCTTTAGGTTTGACACACTAGTAAATATACTTAAGGTGTGACACACTGTAGTTAATGTCCTTAAGGTTTCACACACTGTAGTTAATGTCCTTAAGGTTTGAAACACTGTAGTAAATATTCTTAAGGTTTGACACACTGGAGTTCATGTCCTTAAGTTTTGACACACTGTAGTAATATCCTTAAAGGGTTTGACACACTGTAGGAAATATCCTTAGGTTTGACACACTGTAATTAGTGTCCTTAAGGTTTGACACACCGTAGTAAATATTCTTAAGGTTTGACCCACTGTAGTAAATGTCCTTACTGTTTGACACACTGTAGTAAATATCCTTAGGTTTGACACACTGTAATTAGTGTCCTTAAGGTTTGACACACAGTAGTAAATGTCCTTAAGGCTTGACACACTGTCGTTAATGTCCTTAAGGTTTGAAACACTGTAGTAAATATTCTTAAGGTTTGACCCACTGTAGTAAATGTCCTTTAGGTTTGACACACTAGTAAATATACTTAAGGTGTGACACACTGTAGTTAATGTCCTTAGGTTTTGACCCCCTGTAGTAAATATCCTATAGGTTTTGACACACTGTAGTAAGTGTCCTTAAGGTTTGACACACTCTAGTAAATATCCTTAAGGTTTGACCCCCTGTAGTAAATGTCCTTAAGGTTTGGCACACTGTAGTAAATGTCCTGAAGGTTTGACACACTGTAGTAAATGTCCTTTAGGTTTGACACACTGTGGTAAATATCCTTAGGTTTGACACACTGTAGTTAATGTCCTTAAGGTTTCACACACTGTAGTAAATGTCATTAAGGTTTGACACACTAGAAAATATCCTTAAGGTTTGACACACTGTAGTAAATGTCCTTAAGGTTTGACACACTGTAATTAATGTCCTTAAGGTTTGACACACTGTAGTAAATATTCTTAAGGTTTGACACACTGTAGTAAATGTCCTTAAGGTTTGACACACTGTAGTAAATGTCCTTAAGGTTTGACACTCTGTAGTAAATATCCTTAAGGTTTGACACACTGTGGTAAATGTCCTTAAGGTTTGACACACTGTAGTTAATGTCCTTAAGGTTTGATACACTGTAGTAAATGTCCTTACTGTTTGACACACTGTAGTAAATGTCCTTAAGGCTTGACACACTGTCGTTAATGTCCTTAAGGTTTGACACACTGTAGTAAATGTCCTTAAGGTTTGACTCACCATGTAG